CCCCGCTCCCCCCCCTCCCCCCCCCCCCCCCTTCAGGATCGCCAAGCGCGAGGAGTCCTCCCGGCCCCGGGTCGTGGACCCCAGCACCGCCACCATCTCCCACATCAACGATCGCAATGCCCTGTACAACGCGGCCCTCGAGCGCGCCTACGGCAAGCACACCAAGACCACCAAGGAGAACCTCGAGCGCGGGACCGCCATCTGATCGGGCGCGATGCGGTGCATCCGGGAGGGCCCCCTCCCCCTGTTTTCACACCTCCCTTCCCCCTGGCGCATCCGGGCGTTCGCGCAGGGCTCTTTCCCAAAGACACCAAAGCAAATACAACAGAAAAGTGCACCCCCTCCCCGCCTCTCTCTCTCTCTCTCTGACTCCCAGCTGCCTCGATCCATGGCGCGACCGGTGTCCTTGCAGGACAAGGGGGAGCTCGCAAACTAGAGGGGATGTATTTTTCGCACGGGCGGGCCGAGACACAGGCGATGGGGGAAAGTCCATGCGTGCTTGCTGGAGCGGCCTACTCCTCGAGGCTGATGTAGTACACTGTGTCATAGGGGGGGGGGGGGGAGGAGAACATGCGCCCAGTCAGCACAGGTGAGGATGCCCCCATTGGCGGCCGGGCAAAAGGCGGAAGGGGGACAGCAAAAGCGCACCGTTGTTCCCGCGAATGAGCGCATCACCGAAGGTCCCAATGACACCGGTTCCTTCGGAGTTCCACTCCTCGGTCTGCTCGAGAGCAATGTTCAGGTACCCGTCCAGCGAGGCAAGGTAGCCTGCATGGCATGTACGCAGAAAAGGGAGGAAGAAGAGGCGGGGCTTCGGTCAGGGCCGGCTATATGCATGCGCGTGTATGTGTGTGCATGCCCGCCCTCGCCCCTCCTGCCCCCTGGCCAGCTGCAGGAGCTGGCCTCCGGCGGGGGAAGAGACAAAGAAAAAGAAGAAGCAGCAACACGAGGAGGCCCCAGCAAACGCGCACCCTTGAAAATCGACCCGCCAATCAGCTTGACAATGACCTTCTTCCCGCGCATCGAGGCAACATACTCGGAGGGGGATTTCCGCGAGCCGGCCAGGGGAACAGAGGCGACAGCGTCCTCGGGGGACATGGTGCACGACAGGGAGGCGAGGGCAAGCACGCGCGAGGGAGGCGCGGCAAAGGGAGGAGGGGAGGCGAGGGAGGTGGAGGAGAGCGGAAGGGGGGGGGGGATGCCAGGGCGCCGGCGCGCGGTCCCCCCGCCAGGCACCCGGCCGAAGGGGCTGATCGCCGGGCCCTGGCTGTTGTCCAGCATGCTCGGCGGTCCGCCGGCCCGCCGGCCGGCGCCGACAGACGGGAACCGCCGCGGCGATGGCCCCACTTGCCACCGGATGGGCCCCGGCGTTGGCAGCTTGCGCAACACCCGCCGCCCGCCCCGGGCATGTCCGCGCGTCCGGCCAGGCGCGCTCCCAGGTGGGGGGAGGGGGGCGGGCGGGGCACGTCCTCGTGCATGTCCTCGCGTCGGCCCGCCCCGGGCCCTTTCGCGCGCGCGCGCGCGTGCGCGGCTCGGATGCTCCCTGCTCCGGCCCTACTGGCAGGCCGCGACCTCCGCCGCCGGGGCTAACTCGGCGGGGGCAGATCCGGCGGCCCCGCGCCCGTATGACGGCCGAAGACCCCCTTTGCACCGGTCCCAGGCATCACCGGCCCTCAAGGCGCACCACGCTGCCCGGGCAGCACGCCCCAAAGTGTTGGCCACCTTTCCCCGCCGAACGCCCCTCCCCTCCCCGATTTTGCGATTCCCCCCCCTCCCCCCCCCCCCCTGCCCATCCACGCACCGCGCTCAACATGGCCACCACGCATGACATTCCCGCCCTCCTGAGCGGCGCCCTGGCCAACCCGCCGGCCGACATCAAGGTCCGCCCGGAGCTGGTCCGCGACATGGACCAGCTCATCGTCGACTACCTGGTCCATGTGCTGTCTCACATTGAGGACCTGTCCGAGGCGGAGCTCGTCGACACCATCTCCCCCTTCGTGGAGGACCTTCTCCATGACCGCAGTGCGTGTGCCTCCTCGCTCCCCAGGCACCACCCCCTGTGCTTTGGCTGACACGCTTCTACCTCCGCGCCCTCCCCGTCTCCGTTCCCCCCCCCATCCCCTGCGTGCCCCCCCCCCCCCCCCCCGTTGCCCGTCCTCCCTTTGCCAATGCTTTCGGCGACATCTCGCGCCCATGTTGCTGATCCCCCCCCCCCCTGGTCCATCCGGCCCACGTGCCGCCCGCAGGAGAGTAAGGTCATCATGCTGGAGAAGGCCGTCGAGTTCGAGAAGGACATCGCCGCCCGCCTGCGCAAGGAGCTCAACCTCAAGGACGACGTGTACAACAACCCCCTCATCGACCGGAGCAAGTCCGGTGCTGCCGAGAGCGAGGAGCAGATCAGGGCCCGCGCCAAGCTTGGTACGCTGTCACCCCGAGGAGCCGGGCAGGAGGGGGGGGGGGGGGGGCTTCCTTCGCATCTTTCCTTGCCACATCTTCTCACCATCTTCCCATGCCGTCGGCCCTGCCACTCGGGGTGTGCCTCCCTCAGAGAAGCGCCAGGAGAAGGCCGACCGCCGGACCATCCAGCGCGAGCGCACCTCGGCCAAGTCCCGTGCCGATGTGCGTATCCTCCTTCGCCGTGCTTTCTTCCTGCCCCCTTTCCCCTCGTCCTGCCTCTCCCTCTGTTTCGCTCCCCCCGCCCTCGCCTCTTACAGTCCGACACTCACCCCCCCATGCCCGCCTCTCCGCAACCAGCTCTTGGCCCAGCTCACCAAGGCCCCGGTCCTCATTCACAAGAAGGGCCAGTTTTCGGACCTGCTGTCCAGCTCCGGCTCCACCGATGTCCAGCTTAACAACGTTCATCTGGACATCAACGGCATCGTCATGCTGGAGGTGCGTCCGCACGCGTGCACACACATACACAAACGCCCCGTCCTCCCGCCTGACCAATACATCCCCACCTCCCGCCCGGCGCCACGCAGGATGCCACCATCAACATCGTTTCCGGGCGCCGCTACGGCCTGATCGGCCGCAACGGTGTCGGTAAGACCACCTTCCTCAAGCATCTGGCCGCCAAGGCCTTCCCCCGCATGCCGGAGCACGTGCAGATCGTGCACATCGAGCAGGAGGCCCCCTCCAGCCAGATGTCCGTGCTGCAGACCATCCTCGGGACGGATATCGAGCGTGAGTCGCTCCTGGCCGAGGAGCGCGAGCTCCTGGCCGAGAGCGAGAAGCATGACGCCATGAACGCCCAGCGCCAGGCCGAGGGCCTGCCCCCCATCACCACGTCGCAGATGGACGACATCGGGACCCGCCTCGAGCAGGTCTACGTCCGCCTCGGGGAGATCGACGCCGACAGCGCGGTCGCTCGGGCTTCGGAGATTCTCAACGGTGCGCGCGACCGTCCCTCTTGGCGCCCCCTTCCTCATCTCTTCATCTTTCTCTTCATCTCTTCATCTCTTCATCTCTTCATCTCTTCATCTCTTCATCTCTTCATCTCTTCATCTCTTCATCTCTTCATCTTTCTCTTCATCTCTTCATCTCTTCATCTCTTCATCTCTTCATCTTTCTCTTCACCCCCCTCTCTTCCCCCCCCCCCTCTCTTCCCGTCTCTCTTTCTCCCTCC